CAGCCTTGTGCCCCAGCCAGCCCTTCTGTACCACGTTGAGCTGGGAAAGAGTAGCCCCAGGCTTGGTAAGCTGGCCAGCCCCTGGGCTTGCTGTCAGCGGGGGCTGCTCCAACCCGGCTTAACATGTTACAATCACAGGTGTACGTTCAAACAGTGCACCTGGGAGCAATAAACTCCAGTGTAATTATCGCTGCATGCTGATAGCACATGTAGACATGCCCAGCGAGTGCAAAACACCAGGCCCATCTTATCAAGACCCACCATTCTTGGGTATGCCATGGGCCATAGATAGCGCACTGGAGAGATCACACCTCCATATCCAAGTAATTGTGTCTTAAATCATTTACCCTGCACAGGTGGTTTGAGCATTTGTGGGCCCTGCTGGTTCTTGTTCTGGGGAGAATGGAAGATGGGAAGGTGTTGGTCACTGTCTGCCATTTTGTATTATCATGGATATAGCATTCTAGAGATCCACCATCATGTTAGCTGTCCAGTAAAGATTGAAATAACTTACATTACCCCAGCTTGACTCCAGTTCACATGCTAATGCCCTTAACTTGAGTGTGATGGTGCTTTTTAACTCCAATTGGTTGATCTGTCAGGAAGCTGTTGATCTATAGGGTGACAATTACAGCTAGCTCAACTCATTAGCTGCTAATACAAGCACTCCATGTAGCTCATGTGTTACTCAGCACCGTGACTCCTCCCAGGGGAGATAAGGGAAACTATAGAGGTGCCAACTTGAATGTTAATAAGCTCCACAGTCAAAACATAGCCGTAGACACTAAGATGGAAACAGTGAAGGCCTTGTTTACATTGCAGGTCTTATGCCAGCAGACAGCAGTGACATGTACACACCTTGCATGACTCTGGTGGTTCCTCAGCCCCTTCCAGAACCATGTGGCTCCACTACGATAGCTGTACCAACAGGACAAAAGATACACCCTGGGGGCACCAGCTGTTGACGTGACTGTGGCAGCTGGCAGGAAACATGGGCATGTCTACACATGCTTTTTGTCATGGAGGCAGAAGCCTTCTTGTCTAGACCAGGCCTGAACAGCAGTAACCCCATTCAGGTTCCCCTGAGCACATGCAGATAACTCAGCAAAGCTGCAATGATCCAGTTTGGTCATGACAAACGCCTTGGAGAGTAGGACGTTGGCAGAGAGCTCGGCCTTGGTCTGCCCAGTATGCAGTCAGCTCTTGTCACTCAGCACAAGCTGTCCACAGCACTGCAAGCTTATACAGCATTTGTGGCAGTTGCTTCCTTCGTCTTCCCCCTAGTTGCACAAATGAACAATGTGGTAGCAGATGTAGGTCTTTCTAAGTGGGGTGCACCTGGCAGATTGTCTCCCTACTGTCTAAGCTCTTTCAGGAGGAGACTTCTGCTTTGGATGTTGTCTTCCTTCCTATAAAGCTGTTGATAATAATGCAGGTTGTTTTGGGTGGTTGTTTTTTCTACCGAAGGATTTTGATGTTGACTGTTACGCCCAGAGGAGGCTGTCAGGTGGCAGCCACTCCTATGGAGGGGAGTCCCCTCGTCTCTCACCGTGCAATAGTATTGGCAAACTCAGCAAGTCGGATGAGCAGCTCTCCTCGCTGGACCGCGACAGTGGGCAGTGCTCCCGCAACACAAGCTGTGAAACATTAGGTAAGGAGGCAAGTCCCAAATCACTCTAGTCTTGTGCCATCACAGGGCAGTGATGCAGAAGAATAACAGGGTCTCGCCTGTAACTGTTTCTGTGTAGCTGCTGCTGGCAGCTCTGGGATAAATGCTATTCCATCAGAGGGAGGAAAGGCACAAAGGGAATTGGTTAAGTTGCCTTTCAGCTACAGACGTCTGAATTCCAGTGATCTGGGTCACAAGCTGAAATGGCGGTTGTGTTCAGCCTCATTAGTGCATATCAGTAGAAAAGGGCAGTTCCGTGTTGCTAAAAAAACTATTTCAAGCCTGGAGGAATTATAGGACAGCGCAATAACCAAATACATTTAGTGTAGAAAGTGGATTCTCCCTCATGGGAGATTTTCGGAAAAAGACACTATGGGCATCTGTCTGGGCTGGTTTAGAAATAGTGCTTTGTGCATCTTTACAGAGGGTTGGAGTACATGCCCCTGCAGGTCCTTCCCAGCCTGATGATTTGTGATTCTAGAAACATTATCCCTCTAATGTTGCTTCTTTTGGATGGTTGTTACAAAGTGTTTGCCTAATAACCTAAAGGAGTTCAGATGTTGCAAGGAGTCTGCTAGGCTCTTTGCAGATGATGTTGGAAGAGGCTGCGCTGTAAAGAGTTTGCCTTCTAAACTGAGGACTTGGTATTGCAAATGAAGATGACATGAGGTGGGGAGTAACATATATAAGGGGGCTAGGGTTACAGCTGGAAGGCAATGCATCAGGCCTCAATAACTGGGTTTTGTTGTCCTTTCTCTTATGTGCAGATCATTCGGATCACTATGACCCGGACTATGAATTCCTGCAGCAAGACCTCTCCAATGCTGACCAGATACCTCAGCAGGGGCCAAGTATCCTCAGCCCATTGCCAGAGTCCTTGGGCGAGTCTGGCTCCCCCTTTCATGGACATGGTTTCCAGATCCCCCAGGGCGGCTCTCCCCAGCCGGAGCACTGCAGCACATTGGTAGCAACGCAGTCCACAGAGACTCCCCCAGCTTTGCCAGAAAAGAAGAGGAGGAGTGCAGCCTCTCAGACTTTAGATAACTCGGGCTGCAGGGTCTCATATGAGAGGCACCCTTCACAGTACGATAATATCTCAGAGGATGACGCGCAGAACCCCGGGGCTCTCTCATCAGTACCCTTCCCACCATTTGCTGCTGTCTCGCCCTTCCAGCAAGGGAACTCTTCAGTACCAATTGAATTCATTACTACTTTTGCTGCTCCGGACTCTACGGGTGATGCAGAGAAACCACCCCCTCTTCCAGAGAAGAAGAACAAACACAGTAAGCCACTGCCTCTGTTGGTATTTGCTCGTGTCCTTCCCTCCTTTAGACCCAGTGTGCTATGGGTGATCATGCCCCAGTCCCCTAAGGCCAGGTGTCTTTCCCTTCCTCCTCATCAATATTTCCAAACCCAAGGGAGGGAGAGATCAGCAGTTAATATTTATGGCAGCCTCAAACACCGTTGCTCCCTGTAGAGAGAATTCCATTCTCTATCTCTCCCAGTTCCCAAGTGTGGGAGACGGTGCCTTTTGAGCCTCCCCAATGTATTCCTGCTTTATGCCCTTGAAGACTAATTTCAAGGAAGCGTCCCACCACAGAGGGGAGGGTCCTTCCGTGAACCTGAAGAAAAGCTTTCTTTTCCGGCTTTTCACCCCTCCTGAGGCTAATTGGTGCCACCCCTGTAGTTTGGGCCTTGGATCATGATCTCCTGCATAACAGCATAGGACTAGCTTGTAATGGCGGTGCCCGGTGCTGCCATCCGGCTGTGGGATGTCATTTCCTTTTTATACATAAAACACATTATTAAAGTGAAGACCATCTGAATGCAGGGGCCCTCTGTCCTTATCCAAACTTCCAGCTCCCCGTATTCTGGCTCTGAGGACTGGAGATAATGACTTCACTTGGAATATGTTAATATCCACTAAATGGTAGGTTTCTTGCTTTTAAAACTTGGCCATCTTGTTGAAAGAAAACAGTTATACCAATCCATTAGGGAATGAACTGAGCTGTGGACTGTGTGGCTAGACGCAGCAAGCATTAGCATTTCAGCCACTGGCTAGCCTTACAGTTCCTTGTTTAAAGACATTGTGTGTACTGCCCTGTCATTCAGCATTTGGATCAGAGCTGCTAGGTTGTGTGTGTTCCAGCACAGCAAACAAAACAATTGGGAAATATTGAGCCAGCCTTCTGACTTGTTTCTGTAGGTGGTGGTTTTTTCATTGGGAACAGAGTGGGATTTCAGCTAGCCTGAACTGCTTAATGGCCTCTATCCTGTCAAATTAATACCATCCCATTCCCACGCTGATGATGTAGAAGAGTTTATCAGCAGAAAACCACATTTCCATTGGCAAGGCTGGTCCTCAAGTTATGCAGGCTGCAGCTGCCACCCATGTTGTTAGAGCAGCCCCAGTTTGAGAACCCAGTCTTTTACCTAGGGTTCCCCACCCTTGTGCCAGTACATCAGCCAGACAAGAGCATGGCTTGTGGGTAAGGTAAGACAAAGGGTTTAAAGGTACCAAGAGCAAACAACCAGGAGTCAAAGCTGGGGCTCACATATGGCACAAGTGAGAGACAGGTTGGTGTGTTGTTTAGTCAGGGACGATTGTTCTGACTTGAGGCTTGTACTTGTGTGTGGCGCTGATCTCAGTAGAATGAGGCTACAAGTTCTCCTTCCTGGAAGCAGGTTCAGATGCACTGCTCACCTGTGCACTTTCAGTCACCCCAATGGGCATGTGTAGGGACATGCCACCACATACATGTAGGTGACTTAGGTTTGGAGAGGCACACGAATGGATGTACATGGGCTGAAAGAGAGAGAGATGAATAGGCCATTTGCCTGGCTCTCTGAGCCCTGCATTATTCTTCTTTATCATACAAAGCTGTTCACAGAGTCGGGGAATTACAGGTACTCCTCACTTAACATTGTCCCAGTTAAAGTTGTTTTCATAGTTTCATAGTTTCTAGGGTCGGAAGGGA